TTTTTTTTTTTTTTTAAGCTTTCTTACATGCACGTGGAGGGGAAAGACGAAAGAAACAGGACAAAGCTGACTGAAGAATGGAAGAAAGATTGTTAGACACAGGTGGTAGAAGGAACAACCTGTGCTGATTGCGAGTTCTCGAGGTTCTCGTCGACGGGGGGAAATCGAATGGACGTTGCGCGCGGTTTTCATCGGCGCGTCGCGTGACGAGATAGTGATGAACACGTGCGCCGAGCCTCGGAAGCGAGCGAGCGAGTCGTGGGTTACACGCTCTCTAATCTCATAACCCGTAAGCCATACGTTTCACAAGCCGTAAGCCGCGCGCACGGAATCCTATTCACGTGTTATCGCGACGAGCGATACGCGTGCTCGGGGATTCGCGGCAAAGCCGTGTGTGTTGTTTGGTCGAGGGATCGGCAACCTCGAGCAACGATGATCGACGATCGACGATCGAACCCGAATCAATCAAACTCGGTTTGTCAAGCCGAGAGTGTCATCGCGAGCTCGAGGCGAACGAGAAGAACCACGCCACGCCACCGGAATCGTTGATTTTCCCATCCCATCAACGTCGAGGTCTCGTTAAGCGAGACCGCGTTCGTGCTTGGAATAAATCGTACAGCTCGATGACGCGTCGTAACTGGGCCGATCCTCCTCTTCCCCTCGAGAGTTCTGTCTCCGTCAATCTTCCCTCCAGAGCCGATTCTACGATCATCGAATCGGAATCGAACACGAGCGAGATCGTTTTTCTATCGCCACTCGTCGAAGAGGATTCGGCGTAAGTGCTTTTCGATGCACAGGTGCGTCGCGAGGAGAACCAAGGTCGAAACGAAGTGGGAGAAGGACGTTGGGCGCGTAATTTAATTCGAAGGAACAAGGAACACAGAGAGAGAGAGAGAGAGAGAGGAGGAGGAGGAGGAAGATTTGGAAGCGTGCACGGTGGTAGAATTCTTTAATTCGCCGCGGTGATTCGATTCGATTCGATAGAAAGAGAAACGATATCGGCGCGTGGGGAAGGCGGTGGCCGACGGTGGGGCACGCATCGCGTGTTCTAATTGGCCAACGTCCGCTAGGTGTTCGCGGCTAAGTGTCGCGAGTTCGGCGGCATCGGGAACAGTAGCTGCGAGAGAGACACAGGGCGCGCGCGTTCAACCTCCCGACCGTTTGTTGGCACTACAAGCTCCGCTTGCTGGTCGATCGACATCCGCCGATCATCATCGTCACCGTCGCCGTCAATTTATCGATTGCCAGCGACCAACGAACATGTCGACGAACGGTGTTCCCGGCGACTCGGCAAAATCCGAGACCAAGAGGCCCGCCGAGGTGTTCGAGAGCCAAGTGCCCTTACCGTCCGGTGAGTCTCTCCCGCTCACGAGTTTATT